CCAGGACTTTAAGCATCTGGATTCCATAAAAGTGGCAGCCAACAAATATTTTTATGAGGTGTAAACACTGAAAACCTACGGTGATTTCCTCTTTCAGCTGATGAAGTGGCAGCTGTGTTTCCCCGTGTGATCACCATCCCAAATTGCTGCTTGCCTTCAGTCCAACAGACCCTGCACGTTCATTGGACAGGAACAGTGTGTTGATCTTCATGCACAATCCAACTGAAAAACAGCATATCAGAGGAGTGATAAGTCCATTACTTCACTCCTGTAAGAAGCAAAGCCAGACATAGTTTATCATCTAACTCTGTGTGGAGTCAGAGATGGATTTTAAACATAGAGCAATAAATTCTCAGAGATAATTGTAGGAATTACTGAGCGCAGTGCTGAGCAAATGTTTGATGGCACGGACACAGTTTGACCAAAAGAAGGACTGAGGAAAAACAAATTTATTACAGATCATCTGACGCTTTCTTTAGAGTGCATTTGTCCAGCTTGCTTCAATTCCCACAGTTAGATATGTTAGAGAGGGAAATAACATTTTGGAGTACTAGACTTCCAACAGTGATGTTAGCTCCATCACTCTCCTGCCTCCAAATGTTTGCTGAGATTTTAACATGGCTGTAACTGCATGTGCTTTCTTTCATTTTCCAAACTTCAATAGTGGCTCTGAGCTCACTATCTTGTCTCTCCTAGATGAAGCTATATGAGCTATTACAGGTAATAATAACATTTTACTTTTATCCCAAGTACTCCTCAATCCGTGCTCCGTTCATGCAATGTGTCTGGTTCTGCTGGAGGTTTTCCTTCTGTTTAAGGGGAGTTTCCATCTCTAGAATATGCATGTTCACTATGGGGGATTGCTGCAAAATTGGCAACACAGTGCTTGTGAGTGTCCATTGTTGCTACTTGCTCATCCAGGCGGAGGGAATCCTGTAAAGTCAGTGACTGCCAATCTGCTGGGTTTCCTTACATAAAAAACTTTACAACCACTCTGACTGTACAACTTGATTGAACTGAGTCTGTAAAGTACTTTGAGACGACATGTCATAAGATGAATTGGTGGTATATGAAAAAACTGAAATATTAGAACAGAGGTTGTAAAGCTGGACAAGCAGATTTGGGGTTTTAGAGAAAATTTACTATTGGATTTTACTTTACATAATAATCAGCCAGGAGGTCTTTAATGGCTTGGAAAACGTCCAGAATTAAGCAATCGTCAAAGAACATTAAGCTGAAATTCTTTGAAGGACAAGTTTTATCAGAACCTGTGACTCGTCTGGGTCTTATTCATCTTAGTCAATGATAAAAACAGACCAATCAAATTCTCTAAACATAAAGACAATAGAAAAAAAAGAAAACATCTCTTGTTACTGTATAGATGTGATTATTATTTCGCCATAAATGCATTCTGTTTATTTTTTTCTTAGGGATGTAAAGATCTGATTCCATCAAGATATGACATTATTAAAGAACCCTTCAAAATAAATGCTTAGCAAAATACATGCATGTTTGAAATAAAAGAAAGGCTTCCCTTATATATTGTTTCTACAGAGCCTTTACAATTATTACCATTACTTGGATTCTTTATGAATCAAAGAGAAAAAACAGATTTAAAGTGATAAAAAAAAAAACTATGAGGTGGTAGTCAGAACGCTGAACAAACCCTCATCCTTGATCAATTTCTAAACTTCTCTATCTTCTAAGATTGTTCAAGTTTTGGGGCAGAGCATCCAGATCACATTTAATATACTGGTGGAAAGATCCAGAGCTGCACACTGCTCGAGTTCAGGATCTACTGCTGCTGCTGCTGGCTCCAGAAATAAATAAGTGAATAAAAAATGTAGCAAAAGTGTTCTCAGAAATGCTTCTTTTATCCAAGTTATTTCCTTGAAGTTATGAAAAATGTGGCAGCAATTACTAGTGCTGACTCTGCCAAACATGGGCTCAGTTACAGAGATTGAAAGCTGCCAAAGTGGTTATGACACTAGTGGCTTGCGCAACTATAAGAATAAATACACACTAAATGATGAGTAGAAAGGTATTCAAACACCCATAAAATCTTTCTTTTTGTGACAATAAAACCACTAACCTTGATGTGTTTCATTTATATTTTATATAAGAGATGAAGTAACAAACAACTATTAAATTGAGAGAAGAGGATAAAGGACTTTCAATATATTAAGAAACTATTAAGATGAAACATGTGCCATGCATTCTTCCTGCCATGGAAAATGCAGGCCTTCAGGATATTTCACCACTAGCTGGGAACATCTACATACTAAGATATAAAACTGTTTAATGATTGAATAGGGAGCATCTGTGAACATTCGTTTTCAAACGGCGCCATTATTCCTCAGTTATTCCTCAGTTGATTAATGTCTGGACTTGGATTGGGTCATTCTAATTCATGGATCTGTATTTAAACCATCAATGGTGTCTTAGCCTGTATTTTTTAGGTTGGTGGCCTGCTGGAAGGTGAACCTCCACCTCAGTCTATAATCCTCATGTTTTCTTCCAGGATTGTCCTGAATGTAGCTTCACTCTCTGGAACATCCTCCCTCACCTGCCTGCTGGGTTCCTCTATATTAATATTGGTTGTTCTATAATATTTTCCAATAATCCTCTTAGAAGGCCTCCAAGAAACAAAACCTATGCATTAATATTATGCTTCACATAGGTGGACTTTAATCAGGTGATTTATAAAGAAAGCTAATTCATCTGGATTTTATTTTGGGGAATCAGAATAAAGGGAACTGATACAAATGCTAACAGGATATTCAGACATGCAGTTTTTTTAAACAATGTTTTCACTTTAATAATTTTTTTTTTTTACTATAATCTGTGTTGGTTCAATCACATGAAACCAGAACATTTTAGGTGGTGTGATTATTTTCTCTCAAGAACATTTTTAGCATGCTGAATTCTTCAAAATATGTTCATTAGAGAGTTAAATGTAAAACCCTGCCTGGTATCTTTGGCTAATTGACAATGAAGCCAATTTATGTGAGGACTTATTTCTAACTTCTATTTTACATTTTTTTTCTCAGAATTGCAGGTTTCTAAAACTAAATTAAAACCAGATTTGATCATGTGAAACTATGTAAGTATAGCATTTAATGATTTGATTGAAATGACCTCAATATATAGCAAGAAAAAAAAAATTAAGCCTCAGACTCCAACTTGAATTCCAGAAAAATGGAGGAAATTAGAAAAACCAAATTTTAAAAACGCAATAGATCAAATTTAGAACAAATTAATTCAGCATCAAATTGTTAAATGAGTTTTAATTTATCTTCACCTTAATAAATACAGTTTGAATTAAGTTAAAATCCTACTGACGGCACAGGTTTCCACCCATACTTGCATTGGATGACCGGCAGTCACATTATGATGATGAAAGGCACTGTAAGCATGTTTCTAGTCACACCAACCACTCAAAGGGCGTTACACCGGAGCTGCGTTCACATTTAGGAAGCTGGAATCAAACCCAAACCTTTCATATTGAATGAAACCTACTCCACCTACTGAGTCATGGTCTCTTAATAACACCTTTAATGCCAAACAGGATTCAAACCGAAATGCATTGAACTAAAATACTTCGCATTCCACACAAATTCATATGTGTGCCCACCTGTGTGGTAAGCACTCCTGCATACAGTTTAAATCAAGCCACTGAACAGAAAGGCCACTCACCAAACAAGGACAAGAAAATACAGAGACAAGAATTTACTCAGTATGACTAAAATCAACCATATTTGGACAGAATTTGTCCTATACCCACAATACATGAGAGCACAGAGTTTTTCCTTGGAAAACATTTCTGTTTGGACGCAGGCATTGAACTGAAGTTGGAATCAGGAGAATAAATTGTGATATTGTGTTTTTTCTTTACTTGGCTTGTGGGTATTATTGCTCATTTTAGGCTCAAAGATGTGGTGTTTGTACAGCTGGAAGCCTGACTGGATCTGTAAAGTGTGACATTATCTCTGCAGGCATTCAAATCTTTGTTCCTTCCCTCGTGTTGAATCTACGGTGCAAAAATGCACCAGGTTTATACAATTTGCATGACTCCACATGATCTTTAGAGAGAAACCAAGGAATGACCCGTGTTGATATGTTTAGTCTCAGGTTAATCATTTAAAGATAAATCTATAAAAGTCGAACTTCTTGTTCTTATATTCTTTCAGGCTGAATTTAATAAGTTTTTCCTCAATATCCCTCTCCTTCTGCAGACTCACCCTGGGTTGCAAAGAACAAAAAAATGAAAAAAAAAAAAATGACTAAAGCAAACAAAAGTACTCAGGTGTAATTTTCTCCCTAAAATGGTGCCTGGGAAACGGCTGTAGTGGGCTGCTCCCCAGACTCAGACTCTGGGTGGCTGACAGCCGCCAAGTGAGGTAAACGTCAATTAAGCTGTTACAGTAGATGACAGGCCCAAAGAAAACAGAAAACAGCAGAGGGGGGGCAGCCTGTGTAAACTGCAGGTGTCTGAACACGATGCTTCAGAAGACGCTAAAATGCTAGCAGTTTTGGGCTTGTCAGATTAACATGACGAGGCATGAGGAAGACTCCTTGCTGTCTGAAAGAAACCCTTTTTTTCTATGACATTCTGCAGATCTAGTTTTATTATTATTATTATTATTATTTCCATTTTAAATGCAAAAAACAAAAGTAATAAATATCTGTTGTGAGTTGCACCTGCCCACCACGGAACATAAAAGACTTACTGATTAGCACACTTTTTAAAATCCTACATAATGTTGACAAATGGGACGGTTAATGTCGGATCATATATGGATGGGTAAACTTCTACACCAGAAATACAATTCTTTTATCAACAGAGAAACAAATAGTGTCCACATGTCCACATTTGACTTGTATCTGTGTTTTTTAGGCTTTTCTCGATCTGAAGTTAATTAAAATTAAAACACGTCCTCAAAGCTAGATCTATACACATCAGCTATCAACTTTAGATCTATCCTCCTGCAGTCCACAGTCTATGCTGTGGCTTTGCAGAGAGCCATTTTGCTCATCTTAACTCACATTTTGTTACATCTCAGTTTCAATGTTATGTTAAAAGAATCTAAATTTACGGCTAACTGAATCCGTTCTACTGCTCTTCTGAGTGGGGAAATTTAAATGCTTAGTTAAAGCATCAGGTGTGTGACCAAGCATTTAATCGCTGAGCTAAACAATACAGCATTTTTAGTTGGGTTGTTTTAAATAGCTAAAACCTACTAAAATATGGGTTGGGTTGTGATAGGAGCCCATCTGATCAGCTTGGTAGAGTAACAACACTATGAGGACTCCTCTGAGTCTGGTGAGCTTAAGTTTTACTGATATTTTCATAGAGCCTTGCTTGAGATCAAACACTCTATCCCTTTAATGCAAATGCCTCCAGAGTGAAACCTGAAGATTTTTGTTTCTCTTTTGCAGAGAGGGAAGCAGAGCTTCTGCTTTTTGCCTCTGTAGTACCAATAACAGGTGACATTCACTCCCCCCGGCTGTATCATATACATTGTCAAGTCCCTCATGATGGAGCCTCTTTCTTTCCTTCAGGCTCCATGAGTGCTTGCAGTGCTGATCTCTTCAGCATGCTCAATGTGGAGAAATTGATTTGGTGAGAAAACAACTCAGATCTGTGTGTGTGTGTGTTTTGTTTTCATCCCTCTTTAATAGAACTTCAGAGAGCAGGAAGTGTGTGCGTCATGAAATCCGTCCTGGTTATCTGCTTTCACACGCTCTAGCCTGCCGCCTGCCCTCTAACTGCTCCAAGCTTCCACAGTGAGAGGGGCTTCTACACGGCTGCACGAATGGCACATGTATACTGAACAAACAAGCAGCAGACACCAGCTCTGAGCAGGGCTTGAACTCTCCACAGCACACCTACTCGCAGCCAAGCTCACAACAATAAAATGCTTTCACCCGCTTTTAAATCTGAGCTTTTATGAAGAAAACTTTTTTTTTTCATTTTGAGCTCAGTAAACAGACACAAATGTTGCAGTGAAATGAGGCATCTTCTCCAATTTATTTTGAAAGTTTGCTAAAGAAAACATTTTTTTTTTCTTCTAGTGTTAGTTTAAATGGATTGTAATGAATCTTGTGGAAAACCTCTCTTCAGGCCTTAGGTGAGGGTGAGAATGTGTGAGGTCACACCATGTGACCTTTAGCTGAAGCTCCTGATCCACCATTGGTTAAGAGCCAAACACTCCACCTCCCCCAGACACAGGAGTCCTCTCTGCAGCAGAGCTCATGCATGTTGGCACAACTCTTCCCAAACTGTCTGACTGCAAACTACACCTGCATACAAACATGCTTGCATGTGGAAAATGCTGGTGTATATTTTCTTATTTCCCATCTTATCTCACCTAGAGACAGGTCTGACCTTATTATGCTGGGTGTTGCTGTCCCTTTGGAGTCCTGCTGTGATTTCATTTGGCTCTGATGCTTCATTGCCTCCTTCAAATAATAAACTATTGATCCAAGCCACCCTGCCTGCTCTGAAACATCCGGAATCTGTGTTCATTATCTTAACCCATATCCCTCCAACTCCCACATTTCCAGCTTGTTACGCCAACATAGAGGGACCGCACAACTAAAGAGCAATAAGAACATATGAAACGTCTATAAGAATGGAAAAATAACCTTTTTTTCTTTTTTTTTTTTTTTGCAAATCAGCAGATATATAAAAAGCAGCTCAAGATTCTATCAATCTGAATGGGTTCCCTAACCTTAAATGTAATGAAACTATTCCTATAGACCGTACCAAAAACTTATTTAGAGACTGCAAACAATAGAAAACTACATCATTTTAATATGCTTAATCTGTAGAGGCTCTAATTATTTTAACACTGGATCTGTGGCAATGCATTGTTGAATATTTGCATCTGTTGCCTTTTTTAATTTAAATTCTGCTGTGAGCAGCAAGATTTTACAATAGATATTTTTTCCCTAAAATTAGCAAGTGGAACTAATTTCACATCAGTATGTACTGCAATATTTTAGATTAAAAAATAGACAGGAGATGTTTGGATTGTTTTTTTTTTTTTTTTTTTTCTTTTTGAGCTAAGAGATCAAATCTAATTTTGCTTGCGCTTTATACCAGTACAAAAACATCATGTTACTTATTTACTTATGCTTATAAAAGTTTGCTATTATTCCCTTTGAAATTATTTCTATTCGATGCATTTGGGACTTTGAAGATTTTTGTTTTAAGTAAAATTTAACCAGATTCAAGGAAAATTATTTTTTAACAGTTAAAGCATCACGACCGTGCAATCTAGACGTTGCAAGCAAAGCCAATTTAAAGGGAAAATTAAATGCAAATTTAAAAGGCGCTTATCTTTATTTAAATAATTACATTTTTAAGACAAAAATACAGAATCTTACCTTTAAGCAGAGACCCGTTTGAGGAGGAGAACCACAGAAGAGTGCAGTCCTGATCATCGGTCATCCAAATGAACAATTCCCCACTGATGCCTCCTAAGGTCTGATGTTGATTGAGCCGATGTGTATTCAGACTGCAGACTTGTGTATTCACCCTGGTTTATCCCCCCCACCCCACCCCTACAGCTGATTATTTCTGCGCCTTACCGACTCTATCAAAAGGTGACACTTGTGGACAATCTTAAAGCGTCTGCAGCAGCGCAGAGCAGCTCAGACATATATGGAAACGCGTCGCCTGTGTTTTTTATTTGGTAGTTGTAAAAAAAAAAAAAAAAAAACAGCACTCAGGATTAACTGAGATATATTTTTGCTCATAATGAAGCCCCCCTGAGAGGCGACCTCGGGTGAGTCCCTCACTGGATCTGTAGATGGGGCCAGTAGAAGTCTTTGGGGTTGGAATATGTGGAAATTATGCACTTTTACATCTCAAAAATGTGTTAAGGTGGAATATAGATAAAAAATTATAAATGCAACATTTATATGGTGATGGAAATGTGTAGTAAACGATGTGTTGTTCCACAGCTATGTCCTGCAGACTCCCGCGGCCCTCATACCTCTGCAACTCTATGTTTGCACAAGGTTGCACATCATAGTTTCTTCGTCACGTTTGTGCACAGTTAAAACGTGACCAAAGAAATCAGCAGCACCAATGAAAACAATAAAAAGGGCAAACAGATGATATAAGGTCTGTTGCTTGATTACAAAAGAGAGAGAAAAAAGCAAACATGAAGAAGCAAAGCAAGTTTTAAGGTGTGTACATAACCGTCTGACAAAGAAGGGTAGATTTGATGCATGGCTGCGCTTGAATCGCCCTATTTTTCTAAGCGTGTTTTTGTAACTTTGTTGTAATGTTGCATTGACTTTATACGCAGAGCTGAACTTAATGGATTGATGTCTCTGTTGCGCGCTGTCGTGCGCCTTTTTTTTTTTTTTTTTTTTTTGTGGATTCCCGTGTTATTTCAAGCCCCAGCGAGCAGTCGGGGCTCTTGGCTGCAGCAGGCAGGCAGACAGACGCGCATTCAGCGGCTAATCTGCCGGAGCATCCCGGTGCCATGTGTATTGGAGCTGCCCATTGTTTTCCTCTATAGATTAGCCTCACAAGCACCTCAAACAATCGAATGGCTATAGACAGAATGTCACTGCTTTGCACTCCACTAACAGACTTCTTGCACAAAGATTCAATAAAAGTCGCCCAGCAGAATGTTTTTTTTGGAACAATATATTTACTTCCATTAAATAAAACACAATATTTTTTTGGGTGGGGGGACGTTGGGAAAAGAACAACATAATTCGTACCAAATAGTATACACAGAGCAAAAGGAAAAAAAAAAAAATCATTTGTCGCAGGAACATTTTTGGATTCTTTTCTTTTTATCCAGAATTGCTATTCTAAATCGATATTCACACAGACATTAATAATAAATTTATAATATGTTCGAAACACACAACTGGTGCGTTTTAGTATGTACATTCCCTTTTTGTTTGCAAGCAAAACATGATTCCTTTTTTTGTCAAAGGAACTGTATTTATTTTTATTTATTATGTTTTTATTTTCTTTTTTTTTTTTATCCACATGCGTTGATAAGTTGGAACCTGGAAAGTAGCTGCAGTGTTGGAGCGCAGCCGCTTCAACAAACAGGAGATGATCATTCAAATATATTTACACGAACCTTTTTTTTTTTTCAATCAACAGTTAACGTCCGGAATCCACCAGGAAAAAAAAATAAAGCCCTCATGGCGAGCTGTGAAAAGTGAAACAGGCCTTTATTTTTATTTATCTTTTTTTTTTTTACTTGGTGAATGAGGCCAGCGCTCATGATTGAGGAAAAAATTAAAATAAAAAAAACAACAACTCCCGGTTCAATTTTCCGAGGGGGAGCTGATATTTTTTCAGTGGTTCAGTCTTCTAGTGCCCTTTTTTTCGAAAAAAAAAAAAAAATGAAAAGAGAAAAGTAGCTGTAGTAGTCTTTTGTTTCTGTGGACGGCTGCTTCTAATTACCAGCACACTGCAAAAAATAACCACCGTCACAAACTAAATTTAAAATTCCCTGCATGAAAATGAATGACAGTCAATGACCCATTAGGGAATTAAATCACATTTTTTTCTCATTATTTGATGGAACAGTGGAGTCTTTCGTTATTAAATTCCCTTTAACAAGCAGTTCCAAATTATCTTTTGTAGGTTGGAAAAAAAATACTTAAAGCGTCGATTTATCCTTTAAAAATCGCAGCTCGGTGGGAATTTTTTGCAGTGCAGGTAACAATTAGACCGGCCTATCCACTGCGTATTGGCAAGCGCTCAGGTTGGTGGCTGGATTTTGCACCCCGGCGTATCCAAAACTCGAGTGCTGCTTGGCTTTCAGTCTCAGGCTGGCCAGGCTGGAGTTACAAGTGTCTCTGTACACGTAGGGAGGGGTCGGTGGCGCGTAGGGACACGCCGGCGTGGGTACCCCCGAGTTGAGGGAAGGGTTACTGAGGTTGTTCAAGTTATTGAGGCTGTTCAGGCTGGATCCCGGCACGCCGGTCACCGCAGATGGCACCATGCTGGAGGTCATGGAGGAAATGGAGTTTGGAGGCGAGAACATGGTCTGAGAGGATAAAGGGTTGACGTTCATGGAGTTGAAGAAGGGGAAGCTTTTAGTGGATAAGGAGGCGGACGTGAGGCCCTTGGCGGCCCAGTTGTTGTACGTGTAGCTGGGGTACATGTCGTCGTAGGGCTGCATGAGTCCGTTAAACTGCGGGCCGAAGCCGTTCTTGCAGAGCTCGGCTTGTTGGTTTCTCTCCCGTTTCCTCCACTTGGCTCGTCGGTTCTTGAACCAAACCTGGTGCACAGAAATTTCAAATAATTGCAACAATTAGAGATAAAATAAAATTTTTTTAAAAGCAAATCAATAAAAAAATAAATAAATATTTTTAGGTCCAGCTTCCTTTGCAGATTGTTTTGCTTTGTTTTGTTTTTAATTTAAATAACTAAAATCCTTGCCATTAATGCGCAGAGCATTCCCGATTAAAGCCGCCATTATCAGCGCTGAATACACACTGCAGTCTCAGTGGAGCATCTTAACGTGGAGGGGATGTGTATTCCCCGGCATGCTTCCACAAACACTCTGACCTTAATCACACAACGTCAGGGCGACAATCGCAAAATACGAGCTTTGCACCTCTTTTACACGGAGGGAAGAACACGAGTGGCACGTGAATAGCCCTCAACTGTTAACAGCATTAACACAAACTAATTACACCTAATGGGCAAATAACAATAGACTGATTCTTGATTAGTGGGAAAAGAAAATCACAAAACAAATATAATTTCCAGATTACATTGATTTGTTCTAAGGTAAATAATTGTGGATTGTTTTGCTTTTTTTTAAATATAATTTTCCTTTTATTGTATATTAAAATTTTTATTTTAAATCTGTTCAGTGTTGTTTTAATTTACGTGCGTAATTGTGCCAAATGGTTACAATTAATGACTGATAAAATGTTGAGATAATTAGAAATGTTTAGTGTGTGATGTTTTGCTCACCCTGACTCTGGCCTCTGTGAGGTTGGTCCACACGGCTATCTCCTCCCTGGTGCTCATGTCCGGGTAGCGATTCCTCTGGAAGGTGGCCTCTAACTCCTGCAGCTGCTGGCTGGTGAAATGTGTCCTTTGCCGCCGCTGCCTTTTCTTCTTGGACGGATCGTCCGATGAGTCTTCGTTTTTATTTTGGATCTTTTCTTTTTCTACAAGCAAAAAAAAAGAAAAAAAAAAGAGTTTAATAATTAGTATTATACAAATAAAAAATGCATTTTTTTCTCCTCTTTTGAGGATTTTTTAGGGAAAAAACATGATTAAATTGCTTAAATAAATTAAATATTTTCAGTCATATTCTGCGTTTAAGAATCCTTTAGAATACTGATAATTGTTTTAGTTTAAAAGGAGATAAGTTTAACACCTAACACACAAATAAGCTCCTAATGAAATGACAGCAAGCCTGTAAAAGCTCCTTTCATATTGACGGATCGGAGATCTGATATTTCATAACAAGATGACATCTTGGGCGATCTGAAAAGGCGGGCGGTTCTTACCCACAGACTCTGGGCTCGATGTGTCCGACACAGTGTGCACCTCTAACCGGTGCTTAGAGTCCACGGAGCGCTGCAGCGGCTGCAAACTAGAAGCCATCGCCAAAGCCGTGTGGTGCGTGGAGGCGAGTTTATTCCCTGTGAGGTGATGCTCTATATTTAATGGATCCCTCATAGAGCTCATCGGTGAAAGATCTCACAAGCTTCTAACACAGGAAGGCTGAGCGGAAAGTCCGACTCCGGAATGTGTTCAGCTGTCCAAAAAGCGCACAGCAGCACGGTTCCTCTCGCTGAGATGAAGCTCTCTCTCTGTTTAAACTGGAGGACGCTTTAAAACAGGCCATTGAAGTTTGTCACAGCATCGGTGGAAAACTGCCGCTACCTTGGCTGACTATCAGAGTGACAAGGACAGGTAGGTGATATTAGATCCAGAGGCTTACACACACTCCAGCGCTCTCTGCTCATTTCAGCTGTTGCCTGTGCCTCTGCCTATCCAACTGCGCCCCTCTCCAAACCTCCACGTCACCGCTTTACGCCCGCCCTAATTCTCTCTGACAGGCGCGTCCATGTGGATGAGTCCAACCAACCGGAGCTCTCAGAAACGAGATATGTCTGCCAGTGTATTTATGCCGGGGCTGGTGCTTATTTTTCTCTCCCAAATAAAAGCATGTAAAGAGAGATGAGACGCACGGTGTACCCAGCGGCGCTCCAAGCTGCCGCTGCGCAGCAGCGCAAGACCAAATAAAATGAAAATAACACAGTTTGGCCTCATTTTATGAGACAGGTCCAGTGGCCCAGTAAAGAAATGTAGTGCAGCTGATATCCAGGTTGAGCTGCGCTCTCAGGCTCTGTCACTGCAGTTTACTCGGTGGATAAAACGGGTCTTATTGAAAGGCGCAAAGAAAATAGATGCGCTCTGAATATCAAAGACAAACACCCTCTGCAGCACAGAGGTCCCGTTAAAGGACAAACAAATGTTAACTTCAAAGAATGGCTGTGCTGGCGCCAGCGCGCTCCAAAACTCTCTGTGCGCACTTGTCAACTGACGCTAACTGCCAGACACGCATGCTATGTGAAAAAAAAAAGCGCACGCGTGCAGCCTGTGCTGTTAGCACAGAGGTGCTGAACAGAGGCGCAGAAGTAAAATAATCAAGGTATTCAATCATAAAGGCATTATTTGGCTTACAACATTCATCATAGTTTTTTTTGACATTTTCCATCTGATTTCAGCGAAAGGTGTCGCTTCGGTTAGACCAACACGCGCGAAACGGATCTTTGTTAGAACAAAATCATCCCCACAGCATGGTGCTGCCACGACCATGCTTCAGAATATTAAGTGTTGCTCAACTACAATGATTTACTTGAAGAGCTTCCATTGATTTTGACGTTCTCCACACCAAGGTTCATTGGAAGAGTGGATTAATCTTTCAAAATAAAAATAGATAAATTGTCCTTCCTTTTAAGGGATTTAAAACCCAGGCCTTAATTCTACTTCAGTTCAAAGTGATAATTTATTCAAACCAAATTTAAACACATTTTAACTGACAGTGCACACCTTTTTATTTAACCTTTGTTAATATTTCCTTCCAAGCAGTCTGCCCCTCATATCATTTTTAAAAAAAGCAGATCTTTGTGTTTTCAGAGTGTTTTATTGAAATTTGGTTGGGAACACAACAGACCAGAGGATACCTAATGGGACGGGTGTCAATGTGAAACTGTTATGTGTTTGAAGATTAATTTTTTCCTGTGTCCAACTTGATCCTATTTAGAGACTAAACTAAATCTTCCAGATGATCTCCACTGGACTTTTTAAGGAAACGCATCAGAATTAAATTTACTATAATCATTTAACAGATCAGTTTTATTCACAAACCAGCAATCTTAGGACAAACTGCATCAGCAAACAAACCTTAGTAATGATTTCACTTGATAAAATGACGCAGTAAAGCAACCATATAATAAACAGAGTTTTTCAGTGCCAAAGGCATAAAAAAATGGGGGAAAAGCCGCGAGCAAATTCAAAGATATAAACAACATGACCACCCGGACTTTAAATGTGAACTTTTCCGATTCAAGACATGCAAAAGAGCCGCGCACAAGCTGTCATGAAGTGATCCTCTTGACCCCCTCAGTGTTAAGGTTCTCAGATTCATTAAATGAACCAGGACGGAGGCACACAAGCCTCCAGCAGCCACGCACACTCAGTTTGGCGAAGACAGATGACTTCATCTGAGCGCTTAAAGCTGACCTGTCCTCACTTTGCTGCTGGATCCCGGAGTCTGTTACATGTGCTGATATTTAACCGTTCATATCTATATAATTTAAAGAGGGGAAAGAAGGACTAAAGTAATGAGTCAGAGAAAAAAAAAAAAAAGAGCACAAGGGGCAGATGGAACACCATGCATGCCGAGCAGAAATATAAAATCATCATCATCAGCAGCATCAACATCATCATCATCGTTAGAGAAATAAATAAAAGGGGCCCTTAT